AAATTTTATTTAAAATTTTATAAAACTGTGTGAGAATATGGGAGCCGAACACTCGCCTTTGTTGTACTATAGCAGTGTACGATATTTTATCACGTACCTTTGATGTGCGGCAAGAAATTTTTATTTTTTTTTAAGAAGAAGGATACATAGATGCAGAATATTTCGCTGATGCCGATTTTTTAAATATAACTGGCATATTTATGCGACATTTTTGAAAAGTTGAATTCCCTTAATCGCTCTCTACAGGGAAAGAATATACATCTTTTGAAATCAGCCGAAAAATTGGCAAATTGTATAAAAAAACTCAAATTATGGAGAAGAAAATTGAGTGAAGATACAGACAAAGATTATTTTTCAATATTACAGCAATTTTGACGTCAAATGAATATGATCTTTCTCGAGATATAAAAACCATATTTGAGGAGTACTTATCACAGCTAATTAACTGGTTTGTGAAATATTATCAAAATGAAACTTTCGATAAGTTTACATGGATTCAAGATCCATTTAACACTAGTATTCCGTCTTAATTAACTTCTGTAGAAGAAGAGAATATTGTCGAGTTATCTTGCGATAACAGTTTTAAAGCAAAATTTAGCAGCATGGGATTGACAGAATTTTGGATTTCAATAAAAGATAAATATCCCCTTCTAAATAATAAGGCTCAGCGATTTATAATTCCATTTTCGACGTCGTATTTGTGCGAAGCTGGGTTTTCGGCGGTTGCTCTAATAAAAATCAAGTATAGAGCAAAACTCAACATGGAAAAGGAAATAAGGGTGGCCGTGTCCGGTTTAATTCCACGAGTTGAGAAAACGTGCAGTGATTTGCAGGCTCATCCATCACATTAATTATTAAATATTAATTTTAATGTAAATAAAGTAAAAAAATAATGAAGATACACAAGTTTTATTTATTTTTATCTCTTACCGTATTTTCCGGCGTATAAGACGACTGGGCGTATAAGACGACCCCCTGACTTTTCCAGTTAAAATAAAGATTTTGTAAGGAGGTAAGTGGCACAACAGGAACTCGGAACCATAGTATAATTAGCGATCCCTAAACTACACTCGGCGTATAAGACGAATCCCCACTTAGGAGCAGAAATTTATGGTGTGAAAAGTCGTTTTATACACCGGAAAATACGGTACTTATAAATAGTCATACTTAGGGTAGAGCGTCATGAAAAAATTTTAATTGAAAAAGGGCGTTGCGACTAGGAAATTTTGGGAACCACTGCCTTAGAAGATAATTATCAGAATAGCAATTCTTCATTAGACAATAAACTTTTTAAAATGGTAAAATAACGAATTATAGGTTACTTGAATAATTTTGTTTAAGGCAGAAATGATAGCCAAAAATGGTAACGGCCTAATCGCTACCTCCTTTCTATTTAAGTTCACATCATCATAGCATCATAGTTCATTTGACCTTTAAACTCGCTCATCAAGATGCATGGAAATGTATGGCTTTCTGATTTTCGGTATACGCAATGCATAGCAAGAAGAATCAAATTTCATCGTTTGAAATACGCATCAAAGGTTGGTCTGCCTAGTCACTTAAAATTTTCGTGATTTACACCATTTTTGCGAATGCTTACTTTCTGTTGGCACAGTTTTTCAACAGATTTGAAAGACCTTGATATAATGACCTTAGTAAAATCTTAATTTTCAACTCCAAACAGACTATAAAGATTATATTGTCGATAATACAAATGTTTAACCTGGGCTCTGATGAAGTGAGTTCAAAATATTCAATAAAAATATCAGTCATTCGCTCTAATTCTATGCTTACGAGAATCCAGAGTAAAAGTATGCCAATTCAAGGTTATTATTATTATTATTATTATTATTACTATCATTGCCATTTAAATCCTACCCTCTATCTTGCCATAAATTATATCTCATCCTTCTCCCTTTCCTTTTACATAAACACTCTATCACTCCTTCCCTTATGCATATTTTGATGCACACATATATAAATCATGCATCCACATGAACGCTTCTCGGCAGGCCATAGATGCTGAAACATTTGCCAAATCACCCATCCTCTTTGGAGACTTTTTGAAAATGGAGGCTGATAATTCAGAGCGCCTTTACGAAGAATTGCCAGAGTTGGAGAAGGTCAAAGCCGTGCTATCGGATGTAAGTACTAATTTGGTAGAACTGGCCGTCTAACAATCTTGATCTATATTCATCATAAGTAGGTTTCAAGACTATCCGTAAATCTATTCATCCTAGGTCGCATAAGTTGACGAAGAAGACTGATAGTTGAATTTTCTAAATCTAAACAGCAATTAAAACTCTATATTGATACTGAAAATTATTAGGCGTAAAAAACCCCTTTGTTAGCTTGAAATTATTTGTCAGCATTCATCACAGCTCTAGCGGTGCCTACCAAGTGGGATGAAAGACTAGTAGTCTCGAAACTCTACTTATATATGAAAAATGAAAGAGGAAAGGACAGCCAGTTTTCACTAAAACTGAAGGAGAATATTTCTTGGACTGCATTAACATGAATGTTTTGAAAAACCGAAAAACAGCGGACTAAGGAGAATCCGCAGTCTTCTTATAGGTAGATTTACTTATGAATCTATGCATTACACTTGTCAAATGAAGCATAATTCAGCTCAAAAATGATATATAAGAAGGTTAATTAAAAGCCAGCTAATCTTCATTAACAAAAGAATTTTATGATGTAGCAATTGGATAGAAGAGTCCGTTCTCTTTAGGAACTAAGTGACCTACGCTGCACAACTGACTTTATGCTATTCATGGCGACTAGAACCTCTATTCAATTATCGATCCTTCGTCACTTTATGCAAGCAAGGGTAAGGCAAATTCTGAGAATTACTGATAGTCTTAAAACTTATCCTATTTGGAAGAAAGTTACTGATAGCTGCTTGAAACAATTGTTATTGATGTCAAAATAAGTAGTATAGCAAGTTTTCACTCTGAAACAAATAACTGTATATCAATAATTAACACTCCACCGGAGTGACCGGATCCTTGATGACCGAAGACAATTTTTACGCTCTGATCTAATTACTCGGATAGATCACTCTAGGTTTAGTTCCTTTACGTTAGGCATACCTAACCTTATACACGCATAGATGTAACTATATTAGCAGTGGCATGAACTGGCAAAACCAAACAATGCCTCAAAAATGCATACAGTTGGAGTTTTCTTGATATTCTATTTAAGTAGTCTAAGGAATTATACCCTGCTCTGATGATGTCTGTCAGATGACAGACGAAAGTTCAGCACTCTTCCTCCAAAATTGAAAGAGATTATCTCTTGGGCTGTATCGACCATAACGTTGTACTAAAGTAAGCGAAATCTGACTGGGAGGTATCCACTTTTGTCTTCTGATGGAATCAAACAACAAATAGATTTATCATTCATATTCACTTAAAATACAACGGAACTCAACAATTCGAAGATGGGTTTGCCTCATAACCTGTAATGACATGATTCGAATCATGTTGAAGGTACTGAGGAGACTTAGGAAAGGTCAAAACTGTATTTTACTTTGTGTAAGAAAGGTATTTTTGGATACATGCCAAGGTGAAATTAAAGGAAAAGTCAAATCAGTCAAGATGAGTATACTATTTTTCGTGTACAAGTAGGTTTTCAAAAGTACCTGTAACTTTTATTGAAGAGCTATATTGACTCTATTTCGTAAAAGATGATGAAGGACCGGTAATTGAATAGCAAATATAACTTTATTACATTCACTTTCCCACAACGGAAATGTGATATAGAAAAGGTCTAGGCCTCCTTGAAATTCCCTTCCGCCCTGGAATGCAGGGGCACTTGTGGCACTGTGGCGTAGTGACTATACACCGCACTACCACAACCCTGGTTCGAGTCCCGCTGGGGCTGCTGATGAAACCAAGGTGTTGTTGAAACTGCACTCCACTCTAGTTTGATTGAAAATATTTTTTAAGAAGCAAAGCTATGTGGAATTCAATGGAAATGTAAGGCCTACTGTTAGTATTTTTAGAAAATTCAACTACCAATCCTTCATCAGCTTAAACGAAATGTGGTGAATACGGTAGGATAGTTTTACAGACTCATCATACTTACTTTATTTTTTGTTCATAAGTATGGTTTCGAAATGACCAGTAAATAATTCATATGAGAGGTATTCACTCTATTTCGTTTAAGCCGATAAAGGAGTGGTAGTTGATTTTTCCCGCAATGATATAAGTAGAGCAGACGTTCCTATTGAATTTCAAATAGCCTTAACCTGTAGTCAATTTTCATAACAAATATAACTTTGCTGCATCGACAATCCCACCACAGAATGTGATATGGAAAAATGCCTGAAATTAACATCTGCCCTCTAATCAAAGGGCACTCGGGGAAACGTGGCGGAGTGGTTAACGTGTTGAGATCACACGTTGCACTGTTATGGTTCGACTCCCGTTGGTGGTGTTGATAGGACTTAAGCGAGGTGGAAACTGCGGTCCACTTCTGCCCAGGTAAGGACACCTTTTGGGAAAGCAAGGTTATGTGAAATTCAATGGAAATGTCATCTCTACTCATATCATTACGGGAAAATTCAACTACCAGTCTTTCATCACCTTAAACTGAAGAGGGTGAATAACTCCTACATACTTTACTCTGTTTTTATTCATCCCAATTAACTCAGTATCTGGACGACTTCAACCTGAGCCATTCGAAGGACGTGAAACTTGTGTTCTTTACGGACGCCATCGAGCATGTCTGTCGGATAGCTCGGATCCTGAGACAAGACCGAGGAAACGCCCTCCTAGTAGGCGTAGGTGGTACGGGAAAGCAATCGTTGACTCGGTGAGGTTTCCATTTCGATCAGATTCTACCCTTCATTTCTTAAATCCTATGTCCAAAGCCAAGGATTAATAGTCCATTTGCTTATCTACTATACCACCCTGTCGGTATTCAACATAACCATGTTCCTACAAACGCCTCTGATCACAAATAGTATAGTCTATTTCCTCAAAGATGTTGATACTTTATACATTTATTTAATCTGAGTTAAAGAAGAAGTAGACTATAGTCCGTCCTTTTGGTATTGTAGGCAATGAAAATTGCCAACTCGGTGACAAATGAAAGATAGCATTTCATTTTTGCAACTTGATTGGAGCATTCGAGACCTTGTGGAATATACCTAGTCCTGCGTGCTCTGTCATAGTATACATGATAATTTCCTGCATAGGATTTGGTACATTCCTCTGCTTCACAGTTGGCATCATCATTGAGAGGCGCCATCTTCACAAAAGAGCTACAACTTATCGAATGGACAAGGGATAAGTTGTAACTCTGTGTTGAAGATGGCGCCTCCCACTGATGATGCTGACTAGGATACCGGTTGAACATAAGGGAAAATACAAAATCAACGGTTCGATGTTGGAAATGACCATTACTACTATGACAGAGCACGCAGGACTAGGTATATTCTATGAGATCTCTTTGTAGTTCCGACCAAGTTGCCAAAACGAGGTCAAACCAATAATATACAGCTAAAATAAAGTTCGACCTGACCTAAAGCCGCATTATCTAAGTCGTCAGAGCTACGATGTAAAAGACAATACCTCACTTAATCACTTAATTTCCTCCTTCATTCAATATCGAGGTCGTTTTAATCATTCAGAACTGACCCACGTTTCGGCCTCACTATCATACCAACCATCAACAGTATTCAAACTTAGAAAGTTTTTGTTCATTAAAAATCATGCTGACTTTTCCAAAAGCTAATATCAGCTGATTATCAATAACGCTTATGTAATGTATCAGGTTTGATGGCGAACATGCGGTTTTATATTGATACTCTATTTCCCACAAGGATATGATTAGGAAAAGGCCTGTTTTGATTTGATTTATGCTTGTCACTCTAGTGTCGTTTAACTCTGAAGAAGTGTGTTTCCTTCTCAAAAAATGAATGTACAGTTCGAATCCTGCCGGGGAGGCTGATGAAAGGATGTTGCAAGGCTAGAATTGTTATGAAAGGCAGTAGATAAAAGAGGTTTTTTTGATACATGGTACACAAAGGGTAAGTGGAAAAATCAATTTTCTTCCTGAATTCATGATTAAATGTGTTTAATATAAACAGTAGTATAGATGAATCCTTATTTTCTACGAAATGTACACATATTTTTAACTTAATACTGCTGTGAAAACGCAATAATGTCACCAAATCGTATAAGATCGAGTTGATGGACCCGCTTTTTCTGGGTCTGACTGCTATTAGTGATGTTAGGGAAACTGAGTTGTACATACACTTTGGACGAAACAATACTATTTATATTCAGATTCACCAATTTTCTTCAATTCATGGTGCACAGATCGACGACAGTCCCTTAAGTCTTCATCATATTTACGAAGATTTGTCGAGTCCTAGCTTGTTCCGTTACTTGACTCATAACGTTTGGATAAAGGACCTCTCAGACGGTTCCATTGCAGGTAGATCTGCCATTCATAAACTCTGACAGGAATGAACATATTGAGCATGAATGTATTGACGTTTAAAAGACGGAAAAGTAACTCTTCATCATCCTTCTGGTGCACCCAATGAAGCCCATTCCCCCTTTTAGCGTGGTTCTGGAAACCTAGGATGTAATTATAGAGTATTCAAAATGATCTATGAGTTTAAATCGGCCAAAATGTTTTTACTAGTGCTAAAGACCTATAACCTCATCCAACTTTTTTTACTTTTCCATAAGAACTACCTTTTAGTTCTACTTGACTTTATAACCGGGCGGTACATCATTAAGAATACGAACATTAAAAATTGCATTGTTTAATATATTTTTTCCTTGCCTCATCCAAACAATCCCTGTTCGCATTGCTATTCTCATCGACAACTTCTATTTTCATCTCCCAGTCTCGCGGCTCACATGAGCTCGTGTAAGTGCTTCCAGATCGAGCTGTGCCGCGGCTACGACTACACCTCATTTCATGATGACCTTAAAAAGCTCTACTTCTGGGCCGGTGTTGAAAACAAGCCCACTGTATTCCTATTTACAGACAGCCAGATTGTGCTGGAAGAGTTTCTCGAAGACATCAACAACATGCTCAACTCAGGCGAGGTGCCTAACCTCTTCGAGGCGGATGAGTATGAGCGTTTGATCATCGGCTGTCGACCAGCTGCCAAGGAAGTCGGAATCCCAGAAGGAAATCGTGACGCTATTTATGATTTCTGTATCAATAGAGTGCGCAAGAACCTTCATCTGGTCCTCTGTATGTCGCCTGTCGGCTCTGCTTTTCGCCAGCGCTGCCGAATGTTCCCCTCACTCGTCAACTGCTGCACCATAGACTGGTTCATCGAGTGGCCAGAGGAGGCGTTGCTCAGTGTAGCCAACTCGTCGTTTGAGGGAACCGATTTGGACGAGGTGGAATTGAGAGTAGGTTGTGTGAAAGTTGGATGGCAGAAAACCATTAATTTGTTCAGCAAAATATGTGGTCAATTTACTCTCGAACAAAGCAACTCTTTAGTATATTTGCTGTAACCGCAGCTCTTAGATCCCAACTCGATCTTTATGTTGTCCTTACTGTATATGAAGCAAATTTGCCCTTCGATGAATCTCTTCGTTTACAACTGTTGAGCTCATTTCCATTGCGAGTAAAAGGAGAGATTTCTTAATTGATTTCATCAGCATATGAACACTGATTTATATTGGGCTGTTGTCGTGTATATTCGTATTTATTAGAAGTTGTTTGACCTTGTTTTCGCAACATGGTCATATTGGTAGGAAGACTTATTGGAAC